CCAGGATGAAGCAATGTGAAAGCACTGTCACATTCTTCTCCAAAGGAAATGAGCTGAAATTCTCCCCCATCTGCATCACCCCGATTTGCTCAGCATCTGAGGAAAGCCATAGTTGTACCTGCCTGCCATGTAGGTTTTAAAAATAAAATAAATATAGAGCATTTTCCTGCTATACATGCATAGGATTGAACCCTAAAATGGTCGATTGCACAAGGATTCTAACCCAGCATGAAGCACTCAGAGAGAAAGGGTAAAACACATTTAGTCCACGGCCTGATAGAGGAATATTTCACTTTCTCCCACATTCCATTTTTTAAAAAATCAGGTCTTTCCATTCTAAATGTGAAAATATCTGTGCATTGCAAGACGTTCTTCTCAAAATTGCACCGCATCAAAATTCTCACCCAGTCCTAAGTCTGGAGTTAGATACCTGCACTGTCAAAAGCAAAGCCAAGAACAGCTCCAGAATATCTTTGCATAATTTTTTGACATGGGATCCTGCAAAGGATCCTGTTTTTACAGTGCATGTGAAAAATGTAGGGAGCTGTGATGATTCAGCGTGAGGATGTATTCAGACCAAGCAAACATCCCAAAATGAGCTAACTTTCAGGTGCTCCAGACCCCCTTGAACAAGCTGGAGCTGGAAGGGGGTGAGGAAGAGAAAAAGCGGGGCGTTTTGTGCAAATGAATTTCGATTTGCCTCTGTTTGGTGATCAGCAGATCTCCAGAGTGCTGGGAGCAGAGCAGTCGGGACTGGTCCCCTCTTTTTATTTTGGAGGGAGGGAAATGCAGGAGCCTCTTACGGCTCTGGTCTGTCTCCAGCACTCGGGGCGAATGTGTGGGTAATGCAGAAATCAAGGCCTGCCCGATGCTCCCTTCCAGCGTTTGTGCGGGACTCCAGTTAGACGTTTCCCTCTGCCCTCCCCCCCCACTGAGCCCCCTTTTTCCTTCCCCCTTCCCCCCCCCCCCCCCCCCCCGCTCTCCTGCCCTCGCCTGCTCTCTGTCCAATTACACCAGAACTTCAGGTGTCCCTCTCCCCGGAGGACAGCGTGTTCCTGCCACATGCCGGGTGAAAATTCAAAGGTTTAATTAGCTCCTAATGCCCTTGATGGGGAAGCCAGCCAGCTTGCAAACTCTGCCTGCCACATCAAAGGCTGAGGGGGAAGGTGTGAGCCCAGCAGGGCTGATCCCAACCCCACTGGCAGCTCTCCTCTCAAAGGAGCAACGCTGGTTCCCACCCACTCGACAGCCAGGGCAAGAGTTGACTCTCTGAATAGGATGCTAATCAGGGAATTTCCGGCCTGCCCCCATCCCGGTCTTGGTTCCCTTCGAGCTGTTTGTCCTTCAGAGGATGGCGCAGCAACAGTTATAACATGGGTGGCTGGGAGGGGGTTTCTTTGAGGTGGGCATCTGGTAGCTTGTCCTTCGCTGGAAATGTGACGAGGAGAATGCTTCCTGCCCTGTGTTCGCAAAGCAAAGCAAAGCAAGGCAAGGCAGGATTCTTGCTCGACAAACAGGCATGGATGAGACATTTGTTTTGGTTCCATTGTAACAGCAATTTACCAAAATCTGAAAAGTGCTCCACATTTGACACAAACAAACTTTGACTTTGAAGAAGAATTTGGAAGTGGGAAAAACTGAAAATGGCAGATGCATCCATCTAGGTATAAAGTGCTTTGCTCTTAAAAGTCTGGGACCGAACCTCTGTGTATTCTAACCGTCCTCGTCCGGAATTGCTTCTTCCAGGCAGGTGCTTCATCTTTACCAGCCAGGTGGCTGGCAAGGCCTTCGTGGGCCTCTGCATGCTGAGCGGCAGCCCCGCCTATTGAACTTGGCTGGCGCAGCAGGGTGGAAATTTCATTTCGGTCTGCTTTTGATGAAAATTTACCAGAATTCACTAAGTGCACTTTTGGAGGAGAAAGAACTTGCGACTTTAAACATTTGAAGGTGGGAGGCAGATGCATGCAAAAGTCTTCTGATTAGCATTCCCCTTTGTTTGCTAGCATCTTGGCAGGTTCCACTGGCCCAAATGGTAAAGCTTTAAAACTGCTTTCATCTTCCTGCTGTTTGAAAAGAAACAAAAGTAACTACTTTGTCTTTCAACCCTAATAAGAAGTGGAAAAAAGCCAACTCTCAGCATGTGCGATTTCACATTTCAAAATTAAATTATAGCACTGTCATAATTAAAGAAATAAAATGGAGTTGGCCTCAGCTGCCCTTATCTCAAACGTATTAACTTGGGAATGAATACCAGTTTGTCCTAGAAAAGACCAATAGATTGGAGTAGAAAGAACAACGTAAGCGTCAGCCATTACATATTTGCTAGGTTCGCCACCCCGTGACAACAAGATGAATTTTGAAGTTCAATGAAAGAAAGTGTGCCGTGGCAGCCAGCACGGCCCGGATGTGCCTCCGGGAGCGAATGCTGGGCTTGTGTGCTACCATCCCCGGCTGATCCCTGAATGGTAGTTTGGGGAAGTCTGAGCTCGAGTGTCTGTCCTGGATGTTGGCTGCAGGGCCCCAGCAGTGCAGCGGAGAGGTTGGACCATGCCGGAACAGGCAGGCCACGGCTGGATTCTCATTGGCCGATGCAGAGCAGGGGAACCTCAGCGCCGCCATCCTGAGCTCTTTGGAAGAAGGCTGAGGCAGGAGAGGGATGGATGGATGGACGGACAATGACACAACCCAACTCAGCTTGGTAACTTCCCGATTAGATTACTGCAACATGCTCTGTGTGGGGCTGCCCTTGAAGACGGTCTGGATACTTCAGATGGTCCAGAATAGAGCTGCCAGGATGTTAACGGGGCTGGCAGGTGCTCACATACAATGCCGGTCCTCTGTCAATTACACTGGCTGCCAATTGAAGTCTGGGCCCAATTCAAGGTGCTGGTGAGGGCCTATGAAGCCCCAAACAGCTTGGGTCCTGAGTACCTGAAGGAGCACCTTTTCCTTATGTGCCCCTCTGCCCCTTGAGACCTGAGGCAGAGGCCCTGCTCTGGGAGCCCTCCTTGAGGGCAATTAGGAGAGTGGCTACCTGGGGAAGGGCCTTCGCTGTGATGGCACCCCATCTAGAATACCTTCCCCAGAGAGGTTTACCTGGTGCCGACGCTTTATTCTTTTCAGTGTCAGGTGAGAACTTTTTCATTTTCCCATAATTTTCATGTTTAGGTTGCGTTAACTGGGGTTTTTAATCTTGATTTCTGGATGCTGTGTTGTTTTGCTATTTTATTGTTCTTCACTGTAAGCCATCCCAAGACTTCAAAGTGATGGACAGGGTATAAAAGTTTCAAATAAATACATAAATAAATAAACCTTTGGCATGCTGCTCGTTGCCTGGATCAGGCAGGCAGGAAGCCTGACAGCCAGTCGAAAGCTGTCTGCATCCTTGTTTACAAAAGAAAGCAGTTGATCAATCTCGGGGCAGGTTGGCTCTCTCCTCCGTGCCAAAACCACTACCGGCACTGGAAACTCACCTCTTCTCAGACCAAGGGATGGGCGAGCATGCAGGGTGGCTGCTTGGGAAAAACAGAACCGGGCAGGCACTGAAGCACATTTCCCGAGGCCAAAGCAAGACCGATCCGGTCGCTCTGTTGCAAGAGCCACTTTGAAATTCTCTTCCGCCACAAGAAAGGGCAAAAGAAGATGCCATGCCGACATGTATGGATACATGCAAATGTAGAAACGATTATTATGACTCAGGCAGGAGTAGAGAGTCTCCCGGCAGAGTGGGGAAGGCTGCAGCCCGAGGAGCAGGGCACCTCCCTGCCCCATCTGCTGCCGAGCCTCGAGGGGCAGCGGTTCTGACTCTCCTTTAGCATCTTCACACTGGAGCACTTGCGAGAAACCCAGATCAGCTTGCAAGTGTCATCTCCTCATTTTATCCTCACAACAACCCTGTGAAGTAGAGTAGGCTGAGAGCCTGTGACTGGCCCAAAGTCACCCCGTGAGCCTCATGGCCAAATGTGGACTGGAACCCAGATCACCTGGGTCCCAATCCCGCGCTCTCGGCCACTGCTCTTTCGCATCTCGCTTCGGTCTGTGCCGATGTAGCCAGGGCGAGCTCTACATGGCTGCACGCATCTTGCGGCTCTTAGCAAGACCAAAGTCCTTGGTCTTGTCTTTCTTATTGCACTTTTGTTCTGCACTTCTCCCAGGCATTCAGGCCTTTGCACACCCCTCTCCTATTGCCTTTTATCTTCACCACAAGCCTGTGAAGTAGGTGGGATTAAGAAAGCCCAAGCCCGCCCAGTGCCGTAGTGGCTCGAACCCAGTTCTTCCTGGTCCGCTCCCCAACCCTCCAACCACTGTACCAGCCTTCCCCAGTGGGGCACCTGCTTAGCTCTTGGCCTGCAACTCAGAGAGTATGTAATCCGACCTACCAGGTTTGGGAAGCCTGCCTGACAACAAGCTGTCTCCCTGAGATGACCAAACAGGAGGCAGCAGCTCAGTGGATGACAGATCTTTGTTTCTGTAAAAAGAGCTAAATTTTCTTGGCAGGAGCTTGAAGGGTTGCATTTTTCTCCACTGCAGCATATCCAGAGAAGCTCCAAAATGGATGTTCTGCAGCTGAAAGTTGCATCCCTGAGAAAGGGCCGGCCGGTGTTTCCTTGAGCACAGCAGGAGGAGGGGTTTGTGCACCGCCTCTCCTGGCAGCCTGCTCTGTTCTGAACCAGCGCTATTGCTTTACTGTCACCTTTGCTGCATAAGTGAAGCAATCCAGGACTTTGAAGCTCACCAGATTTCTTCTGCCCCGCCCTGCCCCGTCCTGCCCAAATAGCAAAAGAGGACCAGTTGCTCCTTCCGCTTTCCCACATCTTCTGCAATGGTTGCAAACCATCTACCGCTTCCTGTTCCGCTCCACGTTTCCCTCCCCAGGCCAGACATATTGTAGCAAACCAACTGCCCCCTGCCCAACTGTTTTGATTTTAATTTGTACTACCCTTGCTTTGATTTAGAGAGAAGCTGGTGGCGGCGACCTCGGAAGATCGCACAGCACAAGGATGGACCCCATGGCTGTGTTGTGGCTGCTGCTGACAGCCTGGGCGCTCGATCGGACTTGGGCGGTCAACCCCTTTGCGGTACAGCAGATCCCCCCCGACCCTTGCTACGACGAGAAAGGGGTGCCCCGCCGCTGCATTCCAGAGTTCGTCAACGCTGCATTCGGAAAGGAAGTCCAGGCCTCCAGCACATGCGGCAAGCCGGCCACCCGGCACTGCGACGCCTCCGATCCCCGCAAAGCTCACCCAGCCTCCTACCTCACCGATCTCAACACGGCCGCCAACATGACTTGCTGGCGCTCGGAGACGCTGCACCAGTCCCCACAGAATGTCACGCTCACGCTCTCCCTGGCCAAGAAGTTCGAGGTCATCTACGTGAGCCTGCAGTTCTGCTCGCCGCGCCCCGAGTCGGCCGCCGTGTTCAAGTCCATGGATTACGGCAAGACCTGGGTGCCTTATCAGTACTACTCGTCGCAGTGCCGGAAGATCTACGGCAAGCCCAACAAAGCCACCGTCACCAAGCAGAACGAGCAGGAGGCGCTGTGCACGGATGGGCACACGGACCTCTACCCGCTGACCGGCGGGCTGATCGCCTTCAGCACCCTGGATGGGCGCCCTTCCGCCCAGGACTTCGACAACAGCCCCGTCCTCCAGGACTGGGTGACGGCCACCGACATCCGGGTCATTTTCAGCCGGCCTCACTTATTCCGGGAGCTGGGGGGCCGGGACCACGAGGATGAGGATGGAGGAGCGAGCTCTTCCTCCTACTACTATGCGGTGGGGGAGTTCCAGGTGGGCGGCCGCTGCAAGTGCCACGGGCACGCCTCGCGCTGCACGAAGGACAAAGAGGGCAAGCTGGTGTGCGACTGCAAGCACAACACGGAGGGCCCGGAGTGCGACCGCTGCAAGCCGTTCCACTACGACCGCCCGTGGCAGAGGGCCACGGCCAGGGAGGCCAACGAGTGCCTAGGTAAGCGAAGCCCTGCCTTCCCCCCTTGGGCTTGTCTGCTCCCAGGGCTGGAGCCAGGGGTTGGCATCACTGGGCGCGCACCAAGGCGCATGCCTCTGCGGGGGGCCCGGGCGCAACCCCTGCCACTTCCTATTCTCCTCCTCGCTGTCCACGCTTGTTTGCCCAGCCAGAGAGAGCCGAGCTGAGCCCCCTGCTTTGGATGGCTCCTCAGATCAGGCCTAGAGGGGGAGAGGAGGGGCCGGTGGGCCGGCAGCGCTCACGGGGTCAAAGCTCAGGCACTTTTTTAGTTGCAGGAATGCCGATATCGCCCACTCCTCCCTTCAGACTTGGTCCCGCTGCCCCAAAGAGACAGACAGATGGTTCAGGGAAGGCAGGACAAGGGAACAGCAAGGGGGCAAACTGCCAGAGGGGTAACCTTGGGCAGGCTTCTGTTTGGAAACTGGATTTCTATGCAACACCCACCTACAGCTGGGAGCTAAACCGCAGAGAGAAAAGCCAGCAGAAATTAAACTCAGTTCCTGCTGAGGACTAAACTAAACCCACTTTAGTTCCTAGGAGCCTAAACTCTTCCTGAGAAAGGGGGAAGAAAGCAGTGCTCATCTCTGTACTCGAGAGCCACTGCACAGCCTTAGCGAGTGGGAGAGGCAGCTTTTAAGTGTAAGGCAAGGCGAGCTTTGTTTTGGGCCACGTTCCGGGTCTGTTCCCCCGGCCCCCAGCAGGGCTTCAGGTGAGGTTACAAATCAAGGCCAACAAATAGCGGAATCCCAGGTTTGTCACACACTAAGCAAACCAGAAATCCAACCTCAGCCCTTCACAGATCACCTATCTGAGTAGTGAAGTGACCAAGTTTGCTGATGACACTAAACTTGTGGGGGTGGTTAAAATCGAAAGGGGCAGTGAGAAGCTCCAGCGGAATTTCTCCAAGCTGGGAGAATGGGTGTCAAAGTGGCAAATGCAGTTCAATAAAAGGACATATGGAGTGTGGTGTAGCAGGTAAATGTGTGGGACTGGGACTCAGGTGATGTGAGTTATTTTTATTATTATTTATTATTTATTTTATCATTTTTTATTTTTGTATGCCATCCCATCACTTATGGCCTCAGGACGGCTCACATAAATAAATAAACATGATACAAATACAATTAAAACCCAGAAACACCCTGGCTGCACAATTAAAACCTATAGATATTAAGCGTTGCTAAAATATTGTTGAAATAAAAAGGACTTGGCCTGGCGCCGAAAAACAAATAACGACGGCGCCAGGCAGACCTCTCTGGGGAGCGCATTCCATAGTTGGGGCGCCACTGCAGAGAAGACCCTCCTCTGGGTGCTTTGCCTCCTTTAGTCTTCACTCAGTCATGGAGCCAACCAGGTGACTTTGGGCCAATCATAGACTCTCAGCCCGACCTACCTCACAGGGTTGTTGTTGTGGGGACAAGATGGGGGCAGCGGGAGAATGAGTTCTCTGTAAGAAAAAAGGTAAAATAGAAATATAATTTAAAAATTAAAATGGCACGTTGGGGCAAAAAAACCCCAAGTTCAAGTATGCGCTGATGGGCTGTGAACTAGCAGCAAAGGAGCGAGAAAGGGATCTCGTGCGTCAGTCACACTGTCACTGCTCATCGACTCGATGAGCCTGTTGCCGAGTGCACAGCGGCTGTGGAGAAGGCAGACTCCACGGCAGGCATCCTCAGGAACGGACCAGGAAGCAGAATTGCCAAGCTCTCACTTCCTAACGCAAATCTTTGGTGCAACCACATTTGGAATGTCGTGTTCAGTTCATCTTATCTGAAAAAGATACGTTTCCATTACTGAGTTGGAAAAAGAACAGAGAAGGGCAGCAAAAATGGTCAGGGGGCTGGAGCAGCTCCCCCAAGAGGAGCAGTTGCAAGAACTGGGACTGTTCAGCTTAGAAAAAAGGCGAGAAAGGGAGACATGATGGAGGTGTGAAAAACGATGCCATGATATGGAGAAAGCGAAGAGGGAGTCATCTTTCTCCCTCTCCTGTAACACTCAGACGCAGGATCATCCCATTAAGCCGATTGGTTGGATTTTAGGGCAGAGAAAAGGAAGTACTTCTTCACACAGCAAATAAACGATGGAACCCGTTGCCACGGGAAGGGCTCATGGCTGCCCGTCTGAATGGCTTTAAAAAGGGATTGGGCAGATCCATGAGGGAGGAGGCCACCTGTGGCCACTAGCCTTGCTGGCCGTGGGCGCCCTCCTTCCCCAGAGGTGGCCTGCCTGCCTGCCTGCACCGGTGGCTGAGGAGCCTGGGCAGGAGGAGGTCTGGCACCCTTCCTGCTGGAGGGATCCTCTGGGCAGCTGGCCTGCCACTGGGAGTATGGAGCCCCGGGCTGGATGGACCTTGGGTCTGACCCAGCAGGCCTTTTCTTATGTTCTTTTGATCTTCCCTGGAATCCTCACAGCAGCTGAGGGCGGGTGGGGAGACATAGATTTTCCAGCAACAATGGAGCGCTCCCTGCTGGAAAGCAAGGTGTTTTGGGAAGTCTTGGTTGTGCATGGGCAGTTTGGGCCATCGCTGTGCAATAGGGATGGAACCTGCTAGGATGGGCTTCTCAGTATTCATCAACGCTGCTGCCTGCAAGTGGGGACTCTCCTCACAGGCATGACGAGGGGGACTGTCCTTGTCACGGCAGTGGAGGCGCCATGGAGGACATCTTGCCAAAGGCCTTCCAAAGCATGGAACCAGCACTAAGTGCTTTTACCGGGTGACGTTCCTTTTGTTCAGGTGCGCTGTCTCTGCCCTTGCTGTCATAAAACCCAAATGAAACAAAGCAAAGCAAAGCAAAGCAAAAACTATGCAGCCAGAGGCCAGATATTGCAATAGTGAGAAACATGGTGAATCTTTTTGGGAAAAGCCTAGTGCGTACCTGGGCAATGGTGAGATGGCCTTTGCCAGGCCGAGTCCTCAGCTCGCTCTGTGTCATTGGCTGGATCACACATTCATGAAGAACCGGCAAGTAAATGTGCATGTGGTTAGCGGTAAGAGAATGATGAGCTGAATTTGGGTCGTGGCTGGTTTTATAGGCCTGGTCAAGAATAGGATTCATGCCTTAATAAGGGCTGGTGCCAAATAATTTGCTGCCTGAGGCAAAGGAGAAGATGGTGCTTCTCCTGTCCCGATTTTGTGTGCAGAAGCTGACCAGACTCCAGTGGCCACTCCAGCACTGGAGAACAGACAGCCTCCTCCACGTATCTCAGGGCAGCAGGGGAGCTTCTGGCCAGCTGCATGGTCTGGACGGCCCCGTCCGCCCAAGGCCTCTGGCCAACCCGTTGCCTGGAGCAACCACCTTACTCTGCCCGAGTGGCTCTTTGTCCATTGCGGCTTAGCTTCTGAGCTTGCTGGGAGCTGTCTGTGGTGCTGAACTCAACCCCCAGCGTAGCTCCACCACCATGAATGGCTTTGATCACATTTAGAGCAGAAGTTGCAATGCAGAAGAAGCCCTGCTGGGACCAGAGCTACCGCTCTCCCCTGCCGGTTGATATTCCAGAAAACAGAGACCGTGTTTAGATGGACAAAAGCCGCCCACACGGAGGGCCAAACCCAAATGTCAAAAGGCCTGCTGCAGTGCGGAATCCCAGGGAGGACTTACCTTGCCATTTCGGAAAGCAGGAAATGGTCTCCTTCTCACTTTCCTTCTTAGCTGAAAGCTCCAGAGAGATACCCTCCCGAAAGAGATCCAGGAGCTGGCTGCTTTCCTGTTTCCCTCATAATGTCCCAGAGAGAAGCAATGCCCGAGTAGTGTGGGAAAGGCAAGATGGCAGCAGCCAGCCCCACCGCAGCCCCCTATTCTCCATCTGGGATGTGCTGGGGGGGCCCAGGGGTAGGGAGAGGTAGCTAGCGGTCACTTCAGTGCTGACAGCAGGCCTTCTTGGGACGGCAGGTGCTTTTCTGCTGTTGATCATGGTCGCCATGAATATGGGCTGGAACGATGCATGTTCAGATGGAGAGTGTCTGAGCATCCCCTGCCAGCCAGCTGGGGCCATAGCGCTTATTTCCACATAAACATGCATAGTATTGCACCTACTGTATACCGTATTCTTCAGCTACAGCACATCTTTGCAGCATCTCTAGAAAAAGGAAGATGAATGGAAAGATGATGAGTTAAGGGCAAGAGAACAACTGATGAAGCAAGTGTTCATTCTTCACAGAATGAGCAAAATAATTTCAGCTCAGCAGACCAAAACCTAATGAAAAAGGAAGTCTTTGCAAGCTGATGGAAAGACCATGAGTAAAAGGGTCAGGTGACCGTCTCATAGAATCATACAATAGTAGAGTTGGAAGGGGCCATGAAGGCCATCGAGCCGAACCCCCTGCTGTTGCAGGACACCAAGTCACACCACCCCACTCAGGTGGCTGTCTAGGTTCATTTATTTATTTATTAAAACATTTCTATGCCGCCCCATTCGCCAAAGCCTCGGGGCGGCTCACAACATTAGGTTAAAATACAAGAAATAACAATATAAAATAAGTCGCCCTGGCCAGATAAAATAATCAAATAATATTAACAATTAAAATGACGCTTAAATAAAAAGGTCTTCGCCTGGCGCTGAAAAACAAATAACGACGGTACCAGGCGGACCTCTCTGGGGAGCGCATTCCATAGATTGGGCGCCACCACTGAGAAAGCCCTCCTCCGAGTACCCACCCTCCTAATTTCTTTCATGGAGGGTTCCCAGAGAAGGGCCTCTCCTGCAGATCTCAAGGGGCAGGCGGGCATATATGGATGTAAGCGCTCCTTCAGGTTCATTGTGAATGTCTCCAGTGTGGGAGAGCCCACCACCTTTCCAGGCAGCTGGTTCCACTGTCGTATTGCTCTGACCGTGAGGAAACGTCCTGAAGTCTAACCTGAATCTGGGTTGTCACAACTTGAATTGATTATCCCGTGTCCTACACTCTGGCATTAGCAAGAAGAGATCTGGACCTTCCTCTTTCTGACAGCCTTTGAGGGACTGATCTGCAATTGCTTCTCCAT